ACTGACCTGCCCCTCACTGGCTCTAATCCAGGCACAGTCCTATCCCGTCCTTCACGTCAGGCACAGTCCTATCCCAGGGCCTTTGTTCAGGAATTTACTGACCTGCCCCTCACTGGCTCTAATCCAGGCCTGTAGGCCCTCACGTCAGGCACAGTCCTATCCCAGGGCCTTTGTTCAGGAATTTGCTGCTCCGTTGGCCTGGAATACACTTCCTTTTGGCGACCCACATGGCTCCCCTCCTCATTTCCTCATTCCTCCTCCTCCTCAGTAAGGCCATCCCTGACCAACCTGTTAGAACCTTAATCGCCCCCACACGAATTCTATTCCCCTTTCCTGATTTATTTTTCTTCTTAGGCCTCAGCATTAACATAGCATACATATTACTTATACAGCTTGTTTTGTGTCTGTCTGTTCCTCTAGTATGTAATCTGTAGGCAGGGATTTGGTGTATTTTGTTCACTGGTGTTTCTCCAGTGTCTAGAAAGGTGACCAACACATGTCATTGGTCAGCGCTCAATAAATGTTTGTTGAATAAATGAATTAAAGCATCAGTTATAGACACCCTTAATTTGCTTTTGGAGATTTTGCCACTTTCTAACAAATTCCAAGAACCTTCCTTTGAAGGATAACTAGGATCTTCTGCCCCAACTTTCCGCCAGTCTTTTTACACAAACCTGGACCTATGGGAACCCAGACTTCACCTGCACTCTTCCTAGAAAGGGGGTCCACCACCTCACCTGCTAGCCTGATAGGCAGCCTTTCATTGAACCCACAACCTCCCACTGGTTCACTGCCCCCTCGTGGAATAAGTCTGTTTCTTGGTTGACACAGTCTATGATGGTCCCTCTGACCCTTCTTTGTACATCTTACACAATAGCCCTTGCTTATCGGTTTCTTCTCTGACGTAGTTTTGTCTGCTTACCATCCTTGCTGCCCTCCTCCAGGCTCAGTGCCTCGCCTACATGAAGATCCCCCCTGAACTGAACATATGACTCCAGGAGTGAGCCCTAGAATGTACCATGAGGTCATCACATTCCTTGGGATTATGACTCTCTGGCATGTCATAAAGACAGCATTTGCTGTGGTGATGGCCTCACTGCCTGGGCTTTGCCTGAGCTGGTAGAGGTACAGGTAGGAGGAGGTGTGGGTAGTTTGGGAGTTTGTGTGCATTGTGGCTGTGGTAGGAGGTGGTTAGACAAACTGTGGGCCAGGGAAATCAACAGGTATGGCAAAGATGACAAAGGTTGGAACAAGTTATTTTGGAAGAAGACCTGCAGGGTAACTAACATGTGACCTGGGATGTGGATGGACAGGGAGTAGTCTGAATTCACAGAAACTCTGCTCACGGTCCAACTTCCTGGGAAGGTTCCTGAAGTCCTCTGGGTGGCCATCTTGCCATCACATTTCCCCATTCTGCCACTAGATGGAGTGTTGAGGTGGAGGATGTGAAGTGGGATTTTTGGCATTTGTACAGAAAACCTGAAATCTAGATCCTGGGCAGGTTGCTTAACTCTGTACATCAGTTTCCTCATTTGTAAAATAATATATACCTTAAAGGGTTCCTTGGCATAGCTAATGAGTTAAAAAATGTGAAAGTGCTTGTAAATTGTGGAGAACTATAAAAAAGGCAACTATTGCCCAGCCGGTGTGGCTCAATGGTTGAGTATCGACCTATGAATGAAGTCACAGTTTAATTCTAGGTCAGGGCACATGCTCAGGTTGCGGGTTCGATCCCCAGTGTGGGGCGTGCAGGAGGCAGCCAATCAATGATTCTCTCTCATTATTGATGTTTCTAGCTCTCTCTCCCTTCTCTCTTCCTCTCTGAAATCAATAACAATATATTTAAAAAGAAAGATAAAAAGGACAACTATTTTAACTATATACATGTTCTTAAAATTAAAGTGTTAGGAGGGTAAAAGCTGTTTCTTGTGTTTCTTGGCCCACACTCTGTAAGAGCATCTAGTTGTTCAACCATTCAACCATCCCCAGGAGGCCCTGGTCTAGAAGACCCCACCCCCAGGTGCCTGGGATTGGAGGGGACGCACCTGAAAATGGGGATGACGTAGTTGTTGGGGAAGATGCCGACTCGCCCGGTGACCAAGGAGACTCCCTTGAGCCAACCATCCTGGTACTTCCCCAGGACCCTGATGCCTTCTCCCCTCTGCAGGTCCAGCTCATCGGGTCCGTGGGCGGAGTAGGAGTGGAGAGCTACAAACCTGGGGGACACAGGGCACTGGTGAAGGACAAAGAGTACACCTCTAGCGGGGGAGGGCAGGGGAGTGGCGAAGGGCGAGGGGAGATGGAACCTTCGGCCCAGTGGTTAGCGATAACAACCTTGCAAAACTGAAACCTTAATATGTAAGGCAGATGAAGATGGCAGAGAACCTGGTCTGAACAGCCGAAGGGGCCCGATCCCTGCCCTCTCCATGCCCCCCGACCTCTGCAGAATGTCACACAACTGCAAGTCACTAGTTTAGGCCACACGAGCATTTTGACAATGGGACACTGGCCTACAGTGGAGAAAGGAGTTGGTGACCAGAAGTTAGTGGCAGAGCCAGGTCTCAGCCCCACAAGTGATGGCTCTACGGAGGCTGCTTTCTCAAATATGCATGTGCAGCCAGCAGGCGCAGGGAAGTGAGAGGTCGGCTGGAAGCCTTGACCCACTCCCTCTTCTGAGAGTAGAGACCTGTTTGCCCCCAGGAGCTAGCTTAATGTAGGCAGGGAAGTGGGCACTGGGCTGGGGGTGGGGCAGGGTTAGCTCTAGGTCTTTGGTGCACAGCGGAATGCTGGCTGCATGGTGGGATGGAGGGAATGGACTTAGTGTGGTGAAAATGCCCTCAGGTTAGAGCAGTGATTTTCCACTGTGAAGTCCACACAGGGGTCGAGTAGGTCTCACATCCAGGTATGAGTCGGGGATGAAGACACTGGGGAATGGTGAGGCTGTGAGATGAGAATACCTGCTGACTAAAGGCATCAGAAAATAGCCCACCTCGCATGCCAGCTTCAGGGGCTGCCGGTATATGGCCCTCAGGCTAGACCAGGGATGGGCAAACTTTTTGACTCAAGGGCCACAATGGGTTCTTAAACTGGACTGGAGGGCCGGAACAAAAGCATGGATGGAGTGTTTGTGTGAACTAATATAAATTTAAAGTAAACATCATTACATAAAAGGGTATGGTCTTTTTTTTTTTTTTTAGTATTATTCATTTCAAACGGGCCGAATCCGGCCCGTGGGCCGTAGTTTGCCCATGGCTGGGCTAGACCTTAGCAAATCCTTCTAGATTCTAAGGACTGTGAGACACTGGAAGGTCTTATCAAATGGGCTGGGGGTGGAGTGTTCTCATCTGCAAGTTCTTCCCCCTAGAAAATGCTACATTTTTTTTTTACTGATTACTAAAGCAACATCTATTTATAGCCCACCATGAATCTAAAGGAAGACAATAGAAATTGCTCAGTACACAATTTCCCAGCAATGTTCTGGTATATAACCTTCTAGTGTCTCTATCTGGTGAAATAATGAGCTAGGATGATGTGCTTTGTTAATTTGTACTTTTCACGGTTATTTCCATTGGCGATTTTAAAGGGAGGGGAGCTGTTGTCTCTCTGGAGGGGAAGGTTTGGAGTGCTCAATGGGTGAGGGATGGCTCAGATGACCCCTCTGCACCAGGACCGGGTGGAGGGCTGAGCTTTTTACTCACATGTTAGCTGAGAGGTGCTGCTGGGAGCCAGGCATACTGACGATGGCCATGGAATGTCCTGGGGAGGCAGGTGTGGCGTGATACATGCTGACCTACACAGACAGAAAAGACAGCCATGCTGAGTCAGTGAGCGACACAAGCCAGGCCCACAGCAGAGCCGCTACAGAAAGGCCTGGTGCAGCTGGAAACCAAGAGTCGTGCCCAGCGCTACCCATCATGGGCCGTGTCTGTGGTTTGTGGGAAGAGCAGGGTGGGAATACATCGGTTTATGTCCTGGGAGGTGGGGGGATGGGGAGGTGGCTTGCCAAGGCTGCATTCCCAGATTACTCGGGTAAGACCGAGAATGAAGACCAGTTGGATTGACAGTCAACAGGGCACCACCAGACCCCTGGATCCGTCCCCGCCGGCCCCTCCCCACCCCTCTCCCAGGGCACGCACCTCCCTCTCTCTATGAAAACCTGCTCTCAGAAGATGATACAACGGTTAATATTGATTGAGAACTTAACACTTGCCAGGCACTTTGAAGTGCTTTACAAGCAAAGGTCTTTATTAAAGGTACTGTTATCCCTATTTTTGGATGAGGAACTGAGAGAAAGGTCACCCAACTAGTATGAAACAAAATGTAAAACCTGGTAGCCTAGGTCCGCCCCCTCATCCCCACCTCCCAGCTTATCCAGTGACTTATGGAAGATGACTCTGAACCCTTTCTATGTTTTTTCCAGAAAAAAAGAGGGAGCAACAAAGTGATAAGCTCCTAGAAACTGTCTGCTCGTCTGGGACTTTGCCTCTTATCTAACTGACTAACTTGCCTAGTTCCTTCTTGGCACGTATCACAGCCTGAGCTCATTTCCTCATTTACTAACCATCCCTCCACTAGACTCTAAGTTCCATGAGGCAGGGACGGCGTCTTGTTTATCACTATATTTCTTATGTGCTCAGTATATTGTTGTGGCTTAAAGAACAAGTGAATGAAAAAGTTTTCCTACCAAGGACTAATGAAACCTCATCCATTTCCATGCCATCCAGAGTAAATACATCCAATCTGTCTCAGTTACCCACCCATAAGTGATGGTAACTATGTATGTGTGCCCTTTAGGACTCTGGTTTTGAGTTGGACTCGGTTGAATCTGAGTGTTTGGGCAGGTGTGAATGCATCACTGAGTGCATCTGTCTCTATAGGATCAGAAACCATTCCAGTCAGATAATAACCAGTGTTGGTGGTAAGGTAGAGGAACTGAAACTCTTACACAGTGCTGATGGGAATGTAAAAGTCTGGCAGTTCCTCAAATGATTAAACATAGAATTACCATATTACCCAGTACGTCCACTCCCAGTACATACCCAAGGTCACACAAAAATTTGTACACAGATGTTACAGCAGCATTATTCATAATAGCCAAAAGGTGGCAATAACCCAAATGTCCATAGACTGACGAGTAGATATACAAAATGTGGTATATCCATACAATGAAATATCACTCAGCCATAAAAATGAAGTATTGATACATGCTAGAACATGGCTAAACCCTGGACACATTTTGCTAAAAGAAGCCAGATGCACAAAGACTATTATTACATGATTCCGTTTATATGAAATGTCCAGAATAGGAAAGTCTATAGGACTAGAAAGCAGATTAGCGGTTTTTAGGGGCTTGGGGACAGAGGTAGAAATGGGGGTGATAGTTAATGGGTATGAGAGTTAAAGGGTACAAGGGTTCTCTTTGCAGTGATGAGATGCAAAATTGCAGTAGTGATGGTTGTAAATATCTGTGGGTATATAAAAAAGCCACTGAATTGTATACCTTAAAAAGGTGGATTGTATGGTATGTGAATTGTATCTCACTAAAAGTCTTAAAAAAAAAAGCATTCCATGGTCACACATCTGAGGCTAACACTTCGTCAAGTGTTCTGATCTTGGCAATAAAATATTGCCATACTGGTTCCCGCAAACAGAGATGAAAAGGAGCTGGTCTGGGCTGGGCAGGTCCTTTCCTGTGACTGGGCAAGGTTAACCCTGCCGGGCATGGGAGCTGTGCCAGGGAGAGCCTTGTTATGCGAATAACTAATCTTATGTTTGTAGAGACTGTCGAAGCACTGATTAAGCAGCATGCACTTCACTTAGCACCCACGACTTTCCAATGTTATGTTTGCGTAAAAAGTCCTTCCATCCACAAACACTATTAATCTTTAGGGAGGAGGGAGTTGCCAGAATGCAAAGCCACCCCCTCCACTGCACCAGGCTCTCTCTCTTTTCTTCTCTAGGCCTTCCCAGAGAGGGAGTATTTCCTCCTATTTGGTAAATGGTACCTCGCCAGGACTGCAATTGGTGGACTTGTGTTGGAATTCTTTCTAATATGGAACAGTAAGGGGGTCAGAGTCTCAGGTTTTGAGGTGTCTTGGAGGGGAAGGGAGAACCTGAGTGGAGGAAGAGGGGCGGGGAATAGTGGATGACTCTGAGAGTGGGGAAAAGAGAAAGTGAGAGAGGCACAGACAGAGCCTCAGTGGGGGAAAGAGAAGGGTTCAGAGGGATAGAAGGAAGAAGGGAGAAGAAAGGGAAATTTTAAAAAAGATGAGAAAAATTTTGACAGCTCATTAAAAGAAAGACAACACAATAAGAAAAGAGCAAAAACAAGATATATTGAGTGGCCAATAAGTACATAAAAAGATCAACATCAACAGTTATACAAAAATACAAGTTAAAACCACTATGAGATACCACTATAAACCTAAGAGATTGGCTAAGATGATACAGATGCATCATACCAAGTATTGGTGAGCATGTAGAGCAACTAGAACTCATTTACTGCTTGTGGGAATGTACACTGGTGCCACCACACTGGAAAACAGGTTGGCCATTTAAAAAAATAAAGTTGAATATACATTTATCATGCTACTCAGCAGTCCTACTCACAAGTCTTTATCAAAGAGAAATGGAAGCATGTCCATTCAAGGACTTGTCCATGAATGTTCACAGCGGCTCTATTCATTTTAGACAGAAACTGGAAGCAACCCAATGCCAAGCAACCGGTGAATGAATAAACAGTTGTAGTTTAACGACAGTGGCATATGCCTCAGCAATACATGCAATGACATACATGAATCTTAACACCATCCTAAAAGAAGCAGGGCATCCAGGTCTACATGTTCTGTGATGCCATTTATATGACATTCCTAAAAAAGCCAAAACTATAGTGACAGAAAACAGATGAAAAATTGCCAAGAGCCAGGGGTGGGGAAAAAGGATCGCAGAGGCAGAGCCAAAACTGAATACACGAACGAATGGATGAATGTCTGACTGGAGTGATGGGGAAAGAGAGGAAGATAGACGAAGGCAGGG